TTTTTTTTTCAGATGGAGTCTTGCTCTGTTTCCTAGGCTGCAGTGATCTTGGCTCACTGCAACCTCCATCTCCCAGGTTCAACGATTCTCCTGCCCCACGTAGCTGAGACAACAGATACGCACCACCATGCCTGGCCAATTTTTAATAGGGACTGTTGAAAATGCGAGCTTTGAATGAAGAGACCCCCCCAAACAGGCTTTCTGTGAGCAACTTGGCTATTTATTCACCTAGGTGCAGGCGGGCAAAGGCCAAAAAGGGCGTTAACAAAGGGCAGTGGGATAGGAGTTGGTTTTATAGGTTTGGGGTGGGCAGTGGAAAGTTACAGAGTAAGATCAGTTACAGTGGGGGGAGGTGTAGGGACAAGGAGTATACATTACCATAAGTTTAGTTACAATGGCGGGTGGGCGTGAGGCAGAAGAGCAGTTAAGATGGCAGGATGGGTAAGAGGTATTCACATTATCCTAAGAACAGTTAAGATGGCAGGGTTGGGTGAGGGGCTGGTGAGGGTAAGCTCTGCTGGATGATCAGGGACAATGGCGAAGCAGGCATGGGGTGGGAGACAATTAGCCGAGGCAGGCAGGACTTTAGACTTTCAGGCTCCAGGATTGCATATGGAGACCTGACAGGGACAGGGTTCACCATGTTGGCCAGGCTGGTCTAGAATTCCTGACCTCAGATCATCCGCCTGCCTGGGCCTCCGAAAGTGCTGGGATTATAGGAATGAGCTACTGTGCCTGGCCTAATTTGCTTTGTTTTGACATAGAAAGAATCCTGACTAAAAGCTCTGCTACTATGGGCACAGTAATTATTGCCACCGAAAAGAATCAAACTCTTTAAAACATGTAAAGGTTTTTTTTTTTTTAATATATGGAGTTTTTCTCTTGCTGCCAGGCTGGAGTGCAATGGCATGATCTCGGCACACCGAAACCTCCACCTCCCGGGTTCAAGTGATTCTCCTGCCTCAGTCTCCCAAGTAGCTGGGATTACAGGCATTCACCATCCCACCTGGCTAATGTTTTGTATTTCTAGTAGAGATGGGTTTCTCCATGTTGGTCAGGCTGGTCTCAAACTCTTGACCTCAGGTGATATGCCACCTTGGCCTCCCAATGTGCTGGGATTACAGGTGTGAGCCACCGTGCCCGGCCTCTAAAGGGGTTTATTCTAAACAAATTATGTGTGACCAAGGCCCGAGGCACAGTCCCAAGAGGTACTGAGAACATGTACCCATGATGGTTGGGTAACAGCTTAGTTTTATACAACTTAAAGGAGACATAAGATATCAATCAATACATGTGGGGCTTACATTGGTTTGGTCTGGAAAGGTAGGACAACTTGAGGGTTTGAGGGGAGGGCTTATAGGTTATAGGTGGATTAAAAGATTTTCTAGGGCCGGGCGCGGTGGCTCACGCCTGTAATTCCAGCACTTTGGGAGGCCGAGGCGGGTGGATCACGAGGTCAAGAGATCGAGACCATCCTGGTCAACACGGTGAAACCCCGTCTCTACTAAAAGTACAAAAAATTAG